CTTTTAAATTCTATAAATTCAAATTATTACATATCTATTCTGGAATATTGTGCAGGCATTAAAAGTATGTTTTGAACTAACCAGTGTGTTCAGTGGTTAGAGCATCAGCCTGCAGACTGAAGGATCTTGGGTTAAATTTTGGTCAATGGCTTGTACGTGGGTTGCAGGCTGGATTCCTGGCCCCAGGCAAGGCAAATATGCAAGGCAATCAATTGATGGCGTCTCTCTCACATCAATGTTTCTGTCTGTGTCTCTCCCCTCCCTTCCACTCTCTCTAAAACATGCAATGGGAAAAATATATATTCTTGGGTGAGGATTAACACACACACACACACACACACACACACACAAAAAGTATGTTTTGAAATTATATGCCTAATGACATGTGAAAAACTCACAATGCAATGTTATATTGGGAGGAAACCTGTATATTCAGCATAAACTTATATTTTTAAATGATTGTATGTCTTAAAATTGGCTATTAGAAATTCTGTACATGTATCTTCTCAATGAGATATTTTAGCAGCAAATTTTAAACCAGCAGATCATTCTTTTTTCTATGTAAAGAGATAAGATATTTTTCCCTGAGCGGTATGTCTGTTAGTTGAGCATCATCCTGTGGCCCAAAAAGATACCAGTTCGGTTCCTGGTCAGGGAGCATGCCCGGGTTTCAGGCTCAATCACCAGTTGGGTGTATGCAGGAGACAACCAATCAATGTTTCTTTATCACATCAATGTCTCTCTCTCTCTCTCTCTCTCTCTCTCTCTATCTCTATCTCTCTCTCTCTCATCAATAAAACATTTTTTTTAAAAGCACTGGATAAAAATGAATTAAGATAGGTTGTTTTAAAGCATTCTTGCTTTTAATAAACTAAATATCATAATTGACTTTTACTGCCAAAGAATCCTATACCGTCAGAGAGGGATTAGCCCCAGAGAACACTGTCATCAAATAAGGTTGTTTCCACCCTAGCCAGTTTGACTCAATGGATAGAGTGTCGGCTTGTGGACAAAAAGGTCCCAGGTTTGATTCCGATCAAAGGGCACATAGCCTGGTTTGTGAGCTTGATCCCCAGTAGGGGGAGTGCAGGAGGCAGCCAATCAATGATTCTGTGTCATCACTGATGTTGCTATCTCTCTCTCTTTCTCTCTCTCTCCCTCTCCGTTCCTCTCTGAAATCAATAAAAATATATTTTTTTAAAAAAAGAAGAAGAAGGCTGTCTCAAAAGACTGGAAGTGACAAAGCCTCGGAGTACACAGAATAATCTTGAAGTTAAACAGGCTTCAGTCTGAAACCTGACTCTACTTCTTATTAGCTGTGAGAACTCATTCTGGTCACTTATGCTCTCTGAGGTTGTTTCCTCATTTATAGAAAGGAGATGACAGTACTAGCCTGTTAGAATAGTTATGAGAATAAATACAAGCAACACAACACCATGATGTCTGTCACAGAAAGCATTGCACAATGGATTATATTCTTCCCCTGTGTCTGTCTGAGTAGTATAGTTAGACTCCCTAAACCAGGTTGAAAAATTATGATCTTCATCTTATAGATAAGAAATTAAATAGTGGGCCAGTATGAAAGATTTTAGTAGTCAAGTTAATGGGCCCCCACACTCTCATTCCTCCCAGGGAGAATGGCCTCTAAATGTCCTCAAAATTAATCACCCACTGATGTGGCTGAACTCCTCTAGCATGTGAAATGGGCAGCATACTCCTCATTTGCACTGTTTCTTCTGTGTCTCATTCTTTATTGAAGACATCTGGGAACTTGTGTTAGAAGGATGAGGTGATATTGCTGGATGGGCAAGATTAAAAGTGAAGGAAAGGAGTTCAACTTATTAATGCATTTCTGAATACAATGTTCCCCACCCCTTATTTGAGATTTCTCCTTTTGTGGTTTTAGTTATCCATGGCCAATGGTGGTCTGAAAATATGGGCCATTCTGAGTAGCATGATGAAATCCTGTGCCATCTGGCTCTGTCCTGCCTGGGACGTGAATTATTCATTTTTCCAGTGTAACCGCAGTGTACGCATCCCCCGCCCACTAGTCACTTAGTGCCCCTCAGTGATCAAATTGACTGTCCGATCCCCTACGGTGTCACAGTGCTTATGTTCAAGGGGCACTGATACTACTGAATAATGGCCCCAAAGCACAAGAGTGGTGCTGACAGTTTAGATATGCAAAGAGAAGCTGAAAGGGGCTTCTTTTGAGTTAAAAGGTGAGTTCCAGTAGAGAGAGAGAGAGAGATCACATTCACAGAACATTCATTACAGTATATTGTTATAATTGTTCTTTTTTATTATTAGTTACTAGAGGCTCAGTGCGTGATTGAAATTACGTGAGGAGGCACCCGACGGGGAGCCGAGACCCACGCCTGACTAGCAGTGTCCCCCTTTCCCCCTGCTCGTGGCCACTCCAGGGCAGCCCAAGCCATGCCGCTGCACCAGCTCAGGCAGGCCCCTGTCTCTGTCTCTGTCTCTGCTCTAGGCCTCACCTGCACGCTCAGCCTCCTCCTGTCCTGTAGTGACCTGTTATGGCATCCCAGCCTAATTTGCATATTATATATATATATATATTGTGTATATATATATATATATATATTGTGTATATATATATATATATATATATATGTAATATGCAAATATTACTGTGCCTAATTTCTAAATTAAACTCTCATAGGATGTGTGTATAAGAGGAAATGGTATATATGGGATTTGGTACTATCCACAGTTTCGTACATCTTCTGTGGGGTCTTGGAACACATGCCCCCACGGATAAGGAAAACTACTTTCATTAGAATCTTACAACTTTTTGATGAATATTTTGAAATATGTTTCAAAAAGTTTCTATACCATTGTTCCCTCTATGTTGTCTTACAGATCTGAAGCCAATGACTTAGCCTTACGCCTGGCTCGGCAGTTCAGGGGCCACCAAGATGTGATCACTCTTGACCAGTAAGTCTTGGACGCAAGATTTCTAAGCAAGAAGCTCCTTCAGAGACAAAATCGTATTGACCCTATCCATGCTAGTACCAACACATGTAGAGGACGGTGGGTGTGTGGCACAGTGATTCTTACTTGTATTAGGGTGTCAAGGCCAGTCCAGGCCTGCAGGAGACTTACTTCCTTCTAAGTACCTACAAACTGGAGGCTCTACTGGGTGCTGTGCTTATGGTCTCATGGGCTTGCATGAATCTCGGCTTACTTTTCACACATTAACTATTTATTGGGCCACTTCGTGTATACATCTTTTTAAAAATAAAAATACAATTAGTTTCTTAAAAGTCCCAGCATTCACTTCACTACTGTGATTATGCACTGTAATTAATTTAAAAGATAATTATTTAGAGCAAATTTTAAAGAAAACAAGGAGCCAAGTAAAAGTTAGTTTATGACTATTAATAATCACCATTTAATTTTACCTCTCAAATGTACATGTATTACATTTTAAATAAGCAATCCAACAGCTTCAATCTTTACTAAGGAGATTTCTCTCTTTTAAATTGTTTCCTACCTCTCCACCCTGAATTGCGCATGCACCTTATTTCTTGCCCGCTGTGGGCTTCTCCATTTTACGTGGCATGTGTTGGTTGGTGTGTGGGTTTTCTATTGTTGCTGGAACAAATTACCACTAACTTGGTGGCAAAGTAACCCAAATATATGCTCTTACAGTTTTGTACGACAGAAGTCCACATGGTTCTCACAAGGTGAAAATCAAGGTGTCAACAGGGCTGATTTCTCTGGAGGCTTTAGAGGAGAATCTGTTCCTTGCTTTGTGCAGCTCCTAGGGGCTGCCTGCACTCCTTGGCTCATGGTCCCTTCCTTCATCTTCAGAGCCAGCCTTTGTATTACAGCAGCCTCTGCTTGCATCCTCACGATCACCATGCCCTGGCTCCTTTCACTTACAAAGACTTGTGATTACATTGGACCTGCCAGGATTATCTCTCCCTCATGATCCTTAACTCAACCACATCTGCAAAGTGCCCTTTGCCATATAACATATTCTTAGGATCTGAAGCTTAGGGCATGAGCACCTTGGGGGCAGGGTGGCCACCACAGCTGATTTTTCGGTTTTATTTTTTTCCCGTTCTTCCCCACTTATAGACAACTATTCTAATACATCTATGTATATCTTTTATTTTTGTAAAATGTATATTATTTTATGTGCATCTGTTTTAATTTTGCAAACATTGTTGTAGATCTCTGTCTGTTTCTGACTTTTTTCGTCAGCACTGTTTCTAGATTCCATGTTGATGGCTGTCCATCTATTCTAATTCAGCGCTGTCCGATAGAAATGTATTTGAGCCACGTACGGAATTTACAATTTTCTATTAGCCATTACACCCGACATATCATTTCAACATGTAACTGTTACGGAAAACATCGAGCATTCTCTCTCGCGCTCTCTCTTGGTGTTGTCTTTAAAATCCAACGTGTGTTTTACACTTACAGTACATGCCAGTTCAGACTAGAGCACTCCAAGTGCTCAATAGCTGCCTGTGAGTGTGGCTGTCACAGGGGACAGCGCAGCTAGAACTGTTGCATATCATTCTGCCCAGAGATGGACTCTGTGAATGCCCTTTAGCCCCAACTACCACAAACAGCGCTGCAGTGGGAATCCTTGTACATGTGCCCTACGGACCTTTCCAAGAATTTCTTAGGGATAAATACGCAGAAATAGGATTGCTAGATCATAGGGGTACTATAAACATTGCTGATTTACTAAATACTGCCAGATCTATCTCCCAAAATGGTTGCAACACTCCAAGGGCATGAAATTTTCCATTTTTCCATATCTCCAACAAAACTTATTCTGCTTTCTAATTTTTTTCTGATGTTTGCTCATTTAATAGGTATAAAAAATGACTCCAAAGTTGTTTTAATTTGCAATTTTCTAACTATGAGTTTGAGTGTCTTTTTATATACATATGCATTGGTGAATTCTCTTCTGAAAATTACTGTTCGTATGTTCGTATTCTTTGCCCATTTTTTTTTAAATTGGGATTCCACCCTTTTCTTGTTGGTATGCAGTTGCTTATATGTCTAGATCAGAGGACCTAAATCTTGACTGTGTTTTAAAATTACCTGGGGGCCGGGACCGGTTTGGCTCAGTGGATAGACTGTCAGCCTGCGAACTGAAAGGTCCCGGGTTCGATTCTGGGCAAGGGCATGTACCTTGGTTGCGGGCACATCCCCAGTGGGGGGTGTGCAAGAGGCAGCTGATCAATGATTCTCTCTCATTGATGTTTCTAGCTCTCTGTCCCTCTCTCTTCCTCTCTGTGAAAAATCAATAAAATATATATTTTTTAAAAAAATTACCTGGGGATTCTTTTTTTTTTTTTTTTTTTTTTTTTTTAATACCAATGTCAGGCTCCATGCCAGACCACTGAAAGGGAATCTCTAGAGGCAGATTCTAGAAAACAGACTTGTTTTAAAATTCCCCAACTGATCCCAATATATGGGCAGAATTAATTTTGGGAATTCTGAGACATTAGTTTGAGACATTTCAGATGTTTTTTCCTTATCTATCATATGTCTTTTAACTTTGTCATTGGAATTCTTCCATAGAAATCTTTAATTTTGATCAAAGAGATAAAATTTTCATCTTATGCTTTTATGTTTTCTTCGTTTTATTAATATCTCTTTCTCAGTCCTCAGGTCACAAAGATAGTCTTTTTTATTTTAATAATTACTCCTCATATTGAATCCCCCTGGAATCCCAGTATGACCATTTATGTGTAAATGTATCTCGGAGGTCACCTTCCGTCCTAGTCGTCTCTCTGGCCTTTCTCCAAGGCAATGCTAATTGTATTACTATAGCTCTGTAGCAGGGTTTAAACTATGGTAAAGAAAGTGCTCCCTCTTTGCTTTGCCTATTCATGGGCCTCATAACTTCTTTTGCAGATCTTTCAATTATATCTCTGGGCAAGAAACAGAAAAGAGAATATCAGAGTCACCTGTATTTTAAGTGAAAGAAAGGAATTTCATAGCCACTTGATCACCTCTCAATTTTAGTTCTTCTGTTCCTTAGCAACTTGTATTTGCCTGATAAACACAACTGGACATCCTTTGAGAATCATCCCAAACAGAAACACAGCCCATTACATGATACAGTTATTTTTTAAATTTACTGAAATGTAACTATCAAATACATGTAAGAAGTTGTTCATGAAGCTATAGAAAATGGTATTTTTATATGTAGACTAAGCTAACAGATATAATTTTATAATTTTAAAATATTAAGTTATTTTCTGGCTAAAAAGAAATTTTTATGAGGATACATATTTGCCTTTTTTGTATTTTATTACATGAATAAAAGAACTGGGCAAATTAAATGGCCAGTCTTCCCATGAAAAATTAGATCCCATACTGTTAAATCTGGCATCCATATTGAGATTCTCCCTGGATGAGATGTAATATTATTCTTCATATGCTAGATAAACAATCTTCTTTGAGCAATTTAGTTTACTGTTTGTTTTTTTCTTTTCAGTGCTTACCATGGTCACTTAACATCTTTAATTGAGATCAGTCCGTATAAATTTAGAAAGGGCAAAGATGTCAAGAAAGAATTTGTGCATGTGGTAAGTATTTTAGAATCCAAGAATGAGAATATTATCGATAGTAACTGGATGAATGCCTAGTGATAATCCAGTCCAACCCTTTCACTGAAATGAGAAGGAAACTAAGATCTAGAGCAGTTAATGAGAGGATGTGGCTTAAAATCCATCAATGAATACCACAATGGGCAAATTAGTATAGTGGCAGTGATAATTGTTATTGACAGCTACCGGTTTATTCTTCTTGAATTTTGGTCTTAAATTACCTTTTCTATCACTGATGTCACCTTGAAATTCAAAGTTCAATTAAGTGTTTATGACGATCTTAAAACTAAATTGCTCTATGCTAAATTATTACCTAGATTTATTAAGTAAAATAAGCCAATTAAATTGTTGAAACAGTAAATTTCATTTGGATTAATTAAGGACTTTCTCAAGAGAATCATCAATACCATCTTTCAAAATTTTAAGATCTGGAAGCAGTGCTAAGACACTCGAGTTTTCTGAATAATTACAGTTTGCTATATAATTGGTAAAAGTTAGTTTATTTTCTAACTAAAATACTTAATACAGTTTCCATTCATTGAAATTTTCCAATAATATAATCACACTGTTGATTTGACTTTTGTCCCTATACGAGTAGATATGCAGTCATGATTTATAAAGCTCTAGGAACTAATCCAAGCTCCCAATCACAATGAAAAGATTTCAGTACTCACTGAATTCAGAAATGTGGTGGGAAAAGAACAAAAGAACCTACAGTCACTTAAATCCACATGGTCACCTTCCCAATATGCTTTTGTGGGGAAATGCCTAATTTTAAAGGCTCATTTTGTGCAGAGGCAAATTATTAGAAACTCTATTATTTGATGTTTTCAGGCACCAATTCCAGATACTTACCGAGGAAAATATAGAGAAGACCATGCAGACCCAGCCAGTGCTTATGCAGATGAAGTGCAGAAAATCATTGAAGAAGCTCATAAGAATGGAAGGAAGGTGTGTGTTTACAGCTTTGGAAACATTTTAACATCTTTTATAAAAATGAATTTAAGTCATTGTGATACATTGGAGAGATGGAAAAGAATTAGATCTCAATTCCCTTTCTGTTCTTCTCTGGTTACATATTTCAAAAAGTGCATTGTTATAGTCATGCCTCTCAAACTATTTTTATTTATCCTGGAAATGCAATCACTATGCCTGTCCCAAAGCTGATGGCCTAGCTCTGACCTTCTTAGTGGGAGGCAGGCTGTGGTCCAAAGGGGCTGGGAAGAGAGGATGAAGGTTCTTACAAGGGTATTTCTTAGGTCACATGATCTCACATATCTAGAGGAAATAATGAACAACATAAACTGATGAACAAAAACAGACGCAGAGAAAGAGAAGCAGTGATCAGACTCTCAAACCTCAGAGGGAAAGTAGGGGAGGGTGGGGGTAAGGGGAAGAGATCAACCAAAAGACTTGTGTGCATGCATATGGGCCTAGCCAGTGGCTATGACAACAGAGGGGTGAGGGCATATGTAGGGAGGGAATTGAGGTGGGAATGGGGGATGAGGACAATTATGTGATACTATAATCAATTAAAAATAAATAAATACATAAATAAATGTTTAAAATTAAAAAAAAAAGGATGAAGGAAGGTTATAGGTCAGGGACAGATTTCCTCAGTGCAGAGCAGCAGGAGGGGCCAACACACGGTGACAGGAGGGAACAGGCAGAGCGTCCCTGGAGCATCAGGCCCAGTGCAGACTTGAGACCCACAAGGAAGCCTGGGTGCTTCCCCTGAACTATTTCAACTTCCCTGCAGGCACGGAGCTTGGGCAAGTCGCGGCAGAAATAGTTTCTTCTGATCTGTGCCTGGGCTTCTAAGACAGAACCAGAATCCTTCAGAGTAGGAAACAGACTTCCTGTTTTCTGAGTCTTCACCCTACCTTGATTCTCTCGACTTCATATCTCAACAGTTCTATGCTTTCTCTTCTTCGCTCAGTGTTACCTACTTTTCTGCTCCTTTCTTAGCCTCTAGAACACTTTCTCTGTAGTTCCTACTGTGAGTTGCCTAAGTCTGTTGAGTTAAGCCTGTTCAAGACAAGGACTAGGAATATAACACAGTAATGTGTGTATGGCCTCAAGTCATCCTCCCATTTCATTGGTGCAAATTCCAGCCTCAGGCAGTCCCATTTCACCATCCTGAGGAATAGGCACCACAGTAATGTAGTTAGAACCTGGGTAATTTTTAAGAGATTTGTATCAAGACTGAGCAAAACATCAGTCTTATTCAATAGATCCTAGTAAAAGCGGTGTTGAAATTACTTATTAAATTTCCTGGTAGTTTCATTGATACCCTAAGATTTAAAAAAAACAAAAGCTTCACATCACTTGCTTTTTCATCATAGACATCTGTCCTTTTTAATTAAATGGCCTATTTGCCACTTGCCACAGATCCACTCCCAGCCATCTTTTATAAACCTGCTCTATAAGAATTGCTCTTTCCCAGATGGTATGAGGGGGACCTCATGAACTTTGACTCCATCTTCTCTTTTGTAGATTGCTGCCTTTATTGCTGAATCCATGCAGAGTTGTGGCGGACAAGTAATCCCTCCAGCAGGTTACTTCCAGAAAGTAGCCGAGTATGTACTTGACACGGGCATTCTGGGTCACACTGAGGGCACCAGGACAATTCTACAGGGCCACACTGGTTGTTAAAACACTGAAGTACTTCCCAACCAACTAGACAATAACCACTTCAGAGTGCCTGCCATCCCAGGACTCCTGGATTCCTTCAAATTCTCCAGATCCAGCAAATGAAGACCTTACGTGTGGTCCAGGCAGGGGGCCTCCAGGGGTCTGCCTCAGCATCCTACCTGACGTTCTCTCTGATTATAGTGCCTAAGCCTTAACAGCAAAAATTTGAAGATTAATCCTGCTAAACATGACTCCTTGTTCACTTCTTAATTTTCCCACTTAACATACTGCCGTAGCCTAGCCCGTCTGGCTCAGTTGATAGATCACCAGCCTGCGACCAAAGGGTCCCAGGTTGATTGCGGTAAAGGGCACAAGGGCACGTTACCTCCTCCGCTGCAGGCTCCTCCCCCGCCCAGGCCCTGGTAGGGCGTTTGCAGGAGGCAACCAATTCATGTGCTTCTCTCACATCATCTCTGTTTCTCTGTCCTCCCCTCTCTCTCCCACTCTCTCTGAAAAACAATGGAGAAACATCCTCAGTGAGGATAAAAAGAAACAAAACAAAGAAACAAAAACAAAACTGCCCTAGAGCTTCCTTGATCACAAACACAAATCTAAATATGGAAGAGATATAATGTGGAGATGATGTGGTTATATTTCAAAGTCAGTGACCACAGAGGTGTCTTTGGGGGTGGGTGGGTGGGGAGGGGTGGTTCTGATCACTGGAAGATTTTTAACAACGATTCCAGGCTTCCGATTAGCAACATTATTTTTTAAGTGCCTAGTGATGTGCATCTCTGTGGGTGGGGATGGGGACTCGCTGCGACCCGAAGGCCTGAGCCTGTCCTCTTGCTTTTCAGATACGTCCGCGCCGCGGGAGGCGTGTTCATAGCGGATGAGGTCCAGGTGGGCTTTGGGCGCGTCGGGACGCATTTCTGGAGCTTCCAGATGCACGGCGAGGCCTTCGTCCCCGACATCGTCACAATGGGGAAGCCCATGGGCAACGGCCACCCCGTGGCCTGCGTGGTCACCACCAAGGACATCGCCGAGGCCTTCAGCAGCTCCGGGATGGAGTACTTCAACACGGTACATCCCGGTCCCTGGCTTTCGTGCTAAGAGGTTAACATAATGCCTGCTCTTACACTTCTTGCCTAGACAGGGGAAATGGTGAACATAGACTGATGAATAAGAACAGACCCAAAGATAAGGAACCATGGGTCAGACTGTTGGACCTCAAAGGGAGGTTGGGGATAAAAGGGAGATATCAACCAAAGGACTTATGTGCATACATAGGAGCCTAACCAGTGGTCAAGGACAATAGGGGGTGGGGGCATGAGGGGGGGTGGAGGATTGGAATGGGGGGGGTGAGAACAAATATGTGATACCTTAATTAATAAAGAAATTAATTATAAAAATAAATAATAATAATTAAAATAATGATTGCTTTTAAAAAAAGAAATTTAAAAAAATAATAAAATAACCCTTAGTACTGCCCACTAACCAACCCAGGACCCTCGTTAAACTTTGATCTAACTGGGTTCCATCCTATCTGACAAAATGCTTGTGTGTTTTTCCTTCTGAATCTTTCCTCCAGTGTTATTATTAGTTATTCCATGAATAGATGACTGCCCTGTGAAACTCAAGAGGTTGTGATAGTTCACTGGCAGATGATATTATTTCTTTGTTTGGTATTATATTTTTAAGTTCCAGAACATCTCCGTTTAGATGATTTAGTACTATAAATGTTGTATGGCTCTTGCAGGAAATACTAAAATTTTATTCGGGAAATCTTGTTTCCTTAGTTTTACCCCCAAAAGGAATAAGCTTAAGCTTGGAAAAATTATTATAGTTTATACAGTATGGGTAAATAAGATTTGGCATAGCTAAGGGTAAGATTCAAATCTAACGACAGAAGTTATTTGGAGAAAATGTCATTGCTTAGCTGCTGTCACACAACTATTCAAGGGCAGAAATCCATATCCCCCTCCCTGAACCACACTCTGAAATCCTTAATTCCCAACACATTGTCTATTTTTTTGTTTTTGTTTGTTTGGGTGAATCAATACATTCCCTGGTCGTCCTTATGCAGCATGGAGAAATATAATTTGGAATGAATTTCCCTTTAATCCTGAATGAATAGAATCATGCTATGTTCTAAATTTATGAAATGAAATCACAAGAGAATTTTATTGTAATTATATCTTTACTTGCTTATGTATGAGACAAATTTCTCATAGATGAAGTAATGCTACTAATTTAACTATGATGCTTTCTCATTTATCTTTCTTTTTTTTCTTTTCTTTTTTTAATGAAGTATGGAGGAAATCCAGTATCTTCTGCTGTTGCTTTGGCTGTCCTGGATGTGATTGAAAACGAAGACCTTCAAGGAAATGCCACAAGAGTAGGGAGTTACCTTACTGAGTTACTGAATAAACAGAAGGCAAAGCACCCTTTGATAGGAGATGTCAGGTGTGTTTATCATGGTGCTGTGATGTACTTATCCATTTTTCCAAATGAAATAGCCTATGTTTATCTTATAAATTTTAAAAGAAATTGCATAAAATTAAATCTAGAAAACCCTGAAAACATAAAACACAAAGCTCATTCTTTTTTTTTCTTTTTTATATATATATTTTATTGATTTTGTACAGAGAGGAAGGGACAGAGATAGAGAGTCAGAAACATCGACGAGAGAGAGTCATCGATCAGCTGCCTCTTGCACACCCCCCACTGGGGATATGCCCACAACCAAGGTACATGCCCTTGACTAGAATCGAACCCGGGACCTTTCAGTCCCCAAGCCGACACTCTATCCACTGAACCAAACCGGTCCCGACACAAAGCTCATTCTTAATCTAGAACCCAGATACCATCATTCCTACTAACTTATGGGTGTACTACTATATCTTTTATATATTTTAAAGATAAAGTTGAGGTCATTTCAAAGATGAAAAGAAGGAACGTAAATTAACTTTAAATGATCTATTCAAAACTATTTTAAATGATATCCGGGAAAACTTGGTATTTTGCATGTATAGACATAAACATTTATCATCATTACTGCTCCGAGAAACTAAATGACCTGAAGAGGTTCTTTTTAAGCCTTTTACAAACAAGTAAGGGAGTGGTGGCATTGGATTACAAAAACTTAACTTGTTTCAGAAACTAGAAGGAGGCGTGGACGCTGGATTGGTGTCTTGGATTAGTCAGAATCAATTACAATGACCCGTAGCGGGAGTCACAGTCACCTGAAGCGTGGGGACCGTGTTAAGTTGTTGCAACAACGTAGGGTTTGGGAGAGCGTGTGTCGAGTTTTCTTTCTTCGCCTCCCTCAGGGGTGTTGGCCTTTTTATCGGCATTGACTTGGTGAAGGACCATCAGAGAAGGACCCCCGCCACCGCCGAAGCGCAGCACATCATCTACAAGTCAGTGCACCCCGCCTGCTTGGTGTCTGGGTTCTGGGATTCCCACCCTTTTGAAAGCTTCTTTTTCCTCCTCCCACCCCTCCAAATAAGGAAAGCCTAAGACATGCAATTTATAAGTGTGGGCTTCTTGCGTGCAGAAAATTTTTCTTAAAGAACCTTGCCATCCTTTATATTATGCACTCACACGTGCTTCCTGCCTCCTGAGTAGGATGAAAGAGAAGCGAGTGCTGCTCAGCGCCGATGGGCCTCATAGGAACGTGCTTAAAATAAAGCCACCCATGTGCTTCACGGAAGAAGATGCACAGTTTTTGGTGGACCAACTGGATGAGATTCTAACAGGTGTGTTCACGGATATTTAAGATTCCTCCTCTGCGCGCCCCCCCCCCCCCCCGCCCCCGCCCCACGCCATGCTCTCCACACCTAACCCCAGCCTGGCCTTAGATGACTGCATATTGTTATTCACGTAGGAAGTGAAGGAGACAGAAATGAATGTTAACTTAGTACTTATAGAACTAGGAAAAGATAAGCTGAAGAATAACTTCATCATGGACCCTGAGTTAAATCCAAACTTTCTGTTTGCACTCGCACAACTCCAAACCTAAGCGTTTACTGCAATAGCGCAATTTAACTTTTATCATTTACTAGTGACCCGGTGCACAAAATTCATGCACATAAAAAGGGAATTAATTAGAGGAAATATTTTAATATTGCTATTTGCCCTTTTTTCTACAATAGAAGTGTCAGAGATAAAAGAAAATTAGTGAAATATATATGAAAACCTTCCTCCTATCAGAGTCGGGGGGGCACCATGGGAACCAGAATCAAGTCCCCGTCCACCCATATATGCCTGAAAATTGCAAGAGACTCAGACCCAGCCATCCCCAACCCCATTGGGCTAGATCCAGACCTGGCTGGCCCCACCCCTGTCAAGCCTCACTGATTGGGGTTGCGGCCTCAGGTCGCCTGACCCAGCACCAGTGTGGTGGGCACGGCCTGAGTTCCCCCGTCAAGCCCCACCAAGCAGGGAACACAGCCTCAGGTCCCCAAGTCTGGCACTGGGACAGGTGAGCAGACTGAGGTCCCTGCTGATTGCTCGTTAAGACTCATTACGGGAACTCGGCCTCCTCTGAGGGTGCAGCCATTTTTGTTAAGACACGATGGTCAATTTGCATATTCCCTCTTTATTAGATAGGATTTTCCCTTTTAAAGAAAAAAATGCATTCAACATTGTGCCATGTACTGCAAATGCTGCAGTGTATAGTATTTCAACATTGTATGGTGAAAATATGTAAAACAGTATTAACACAAATTATAGACTACAGGTTAACAATTATTTGTTATATGCTGAATCGTTTGATTTTGTGTATTTCACTTATTGCAATATAATTTTTGAGGACTTTTGCTTGTCATTTATAATGATGGCATTGGAAAATAAACCAGCAATATAAAGTCATGTTGAAAAACATAAAGCACTGTCAAAAGTTAGTGTTTTTGTTGTTGCTTTAGTTGTATTTTTAAGATTCAATTTCTCTGCTCCCTTCTCAGTCTTTCAGGGGTAAGACAAGGCTGAGAAGTTAGGAGTCAATGTAGCATTCAACTTGCGGGTCAGCCCAAGTTCTTTGTAATAAGTCACTGCCTTTGGACCGAGAGTGTGCTGACACCGAAACCTGGCAAGGTTTTCTCACACAACTGCCTGTCCTCTGACCCCGTGAAGGACCAGGCAATCGAAAGAGTAGAGGCTGGGACAAGCCCATCACTGTTACTTAAAATTCATCTCGGAGCTTGAGCACTATCAATGATGAGCTGAAGCATTTCTTTTGAATAAAGTGACCGAGGCATAGCTAACACCGGCTCAAGTGCCACTTGCAAATGATACTAATGAAACACCATAAGAAAAGCTTAAAAGCAGCCATTTGATTAGTGACACATTTTTTTTTTGTTGTTAGCACACTGACCTCTCTATTCTTAAGAGTAATCCTATAGATACCAAAAAGGTGTTTTGTTTTGTTTTGTTTTGTTTTGTTTTGAGATTTTTATGTTCTGTCTCCTCCATTGTGTCCTCCATGATGTAGTTTTAGAAGAAGCCATTGGAGCCAACTCTGAGGGTGTGGCGACCTCTGAGAATACATCACGCAGAACAAAGGTAAGAATTGGCTACTTTGTTTTTTAGGGGAAAGTGGAAAACTTTAGGAATTTATAAAAAAGGGTTGCAATTTTTTAAAAAGTTTATATATTGACCTTTAGAATAAAACCTGCCTTTGCTAGGTTGGGCTTAAATACAGTTTTGAGAGCACGACTGAATTTCAAGTGTGTGTCAGGTCGCTTGAAAGGAATAAACCACAGAACCATTCCACTAGGATCATTCCCATAACAACCACCAAAACCTCTCAGGTGCATAAAGAGGGCCTTCAAGATTTATAGAGATGATTAGTCATCTTAATGGCCTTCTTGTTTGCTCTGAGACCTCCTGATGCTGCCTCAGATCCCTACACACCACTCTGTAAAACCAGAAGCATTCGCAGCGTGGCTCCACCATGCCAGAGTTTGGTCCAGAAGTGAACTAACATGGAAACTGCATGGGAACCGCCTGGCAGCCAGTAGCCTGCTATCTGCATTGGAGGAGCTTCCCCCAGAGGGCCTCTCCACTCTCTCCCTGAGCTTCGCCAGTGTGTGTGTGTGTGTGGGGGGGGGGGGGGGGGGGTGGAGAGACAGTAAGGCCAAGAACTTGAGAGGCTTTGTTGCATAATTTGTTATGGTTTTGACGAATAAAGGAACACTCAGTGCCTTGAGCCCGCCTGCACATCCAGTGGTCAGCAAAATCCTTTTCCTCCATGAAAAGCATTAGGCCGTTTGAATGGGAGCAAATGATTTGCTAATAAGATCTGCTTCTGCCTCCCGGGACAGCACAAACCAACTCCAGAAATCAATGATAACCTGCGGTTCGGTTCAGGAGTAGCTAATCTGGCTAGGACGGAAGCGCGGGTGTAAGTGCTCAGCAAGCACTGAAAGGGAGCTTCCATACAGCATTCACCATGGGAAATCCTACTTTGGAGTCAGCAAAGTCAACACACATTTCTGAAATGCTGACTTGGAATCCCAGGTTTTATGTTGACATCCCATTTCAGATGTCTACGGAAGACACGTGCCAGGGCTGGGGAGGAACAACCCGGGTTGTGCTGTGTTACATTGTGTTCTGTGTGCTGTGTTTGTCTGCCGGCCTTTGGGTCAGCCTTTGGGGGCCAGGGCTGGTCAGAAGGGGAATACCACTGGACTTTGCACACCTGTCTTGCAGAAGCCTAAGGAAGCACACTTGGAACTGAGCGGTGAAGGGGCCCCAGACCAGAAAGAAAACCCCAGCCAGAAGAGAAATGGATTATGCACAGATAAACATTCACAGCTCAGCAAGAGGCTCAAGACATGAAAGATTCGTGTTTCAAAGAAGAAATGTCCTGAGTTACAGAGAAGGAATGGAAGTGTCTTCTTATCAGCTCTCTGTACTCTCTAAAGGTAGCATTTGCAGTCCATATAGATTGGTCAATGAGTAGAAAGAATAAACCAAGTCATTTTCAAACCATGTCAAGATTATTAGTTCAGCTTCTAGCCTGTTAATTCCTTACTCGAACCTCCAGAATATACTTAATTTATTCCGATAAATTTATTGTTTAAGTTGAAGATTATGTTGACAGTTTTACTTCTCATGTTTTAATGTTTGAAATGAGAGAGCAATGTACAGTAGGTTCCTTAACTTTGGAGACTTCATGCCTTAAAATATGAAATATATAATGATTCCTTTGATATATATTTATGGACTATAATAAAATAAAAGATGATGTAAACCAAATATTTTTTACTAGCAAAGTGTTTGTTCTGCTTTTTCAAAGAATAGTAGGAGTTGGGGTGGTAAAATCAAAGTCATTTGGGGGGAAAAATAAGAAGACAGTAAATGTTAAAAAGTGAATGAATAATCCAGACCTCCGGGGGGACGAGGACTCAGTTAATCATGCTCCTGAGGACATGGGGTCAGGGAGCAAGGAGCACAGCAAAAACCCTTTCCAGAGGCACCGGGACAGCAGCAGGAGCCAAAGCCCTGTGCACCATCAGGAGACTTTGTCTATCCGGGTTGCGTCACCCTGGCAAGTGCCTTACCTGGCAGGTAAGAAATTAACTTTGAACCAAACACCCTTTTCTCACCATCAAGTTTGTCACACACACACACACACACACACACACACACACACACACACGCTTCTAACCAGACATGAGGAAACCTGGCGCCTGGTTCCGTGAGACATTCAATGGACTGACCTGGGAGAAATTTGAATTGCAGTATAGACTTCCCATTGTCTCGCTATTGCCTTCCTAATAGTTATTAAGCTTTCTTTCCTTTGTTGCATAAAAAGGAGGTAATTTTGTTATGGCAATTTTATGAAAACTGAGAAGGATGTTGGGAGGGAAATGAATTGTAAAATGCTTCCTTTCTGAGTTTGTTATAAATAAAAATGTTACAAAAATGCTATAAGGCCCTAACTGGTTTGGCTCAGTGGATAGAGCATCGTTGACCTGCGGACTGAAGGGTCCCAGGTTCAATTCCGGTCAAGGGCATGTATCTTGGTTGCGGGCACATCCCCAGTCCAGGGGGAGGGTGCAGGAGGCAGCTGATCTATATTTCTCTCTTATCATTGTTTCTAACTCTCTCCCTTCCTCTCTGAAAACACACACACACACACACACACACACACACTAAATATATATATATATATATATATATATATATATATATATATATATATATATATATATATTTAAATGCTATAAGATCTCATTACTATCAATACTTTTTACTCCTAAAATTATAACTGACTCTGGACTCTGGATGGATAATGCTAAGACTGATTTCCAAAGCTGGCCAAGGGAAAGGCTGTGCAGTTTGCTTCCAGGGAACAAGATAACTCTGTGAGCACCCTGTGGCCTCTTACTGGAGCTGATACAGGCGCTCAGAGAAGGAAGCAGAAAACCCATGCCTGTGTATGTTTTCCAAGCATAAAATAAAAGAAAATTAAGAACTTATTCTTCAATACACTCAACTCTTCATTACCTAAACATTTGGTTTTTATAATAAGGGAGAGAGTTACAGAAGTAGAGTCCCAAGGTAGATCTAACAGCGAGACAGAAGTGCGAGAGATCGATAGGGGGATTCCTGTAAAAGATGAAGCAGCGAGGAAACAGTAGTCAACTAATGAAGAGGAGAGATGATGAGAACAGCCACCCCTGCACCCTTTAGATTTTTAGGAGTGGACTGATGTCCACTGTCAATGGCCAGACGGCGATATCGTCTTTGCTGCATCATCTTGGGTGCAGAGGGTGAGAGCACGTGTGCGGAAGGGCAGTGTCGGGCTTCCATCTGGCCTACTCCACGTGATAGCCCTTACTCCACAGGCAAGAATCCCACAAGGGGCTTACTCCAACTGCCAAGTATGTCCATCCCAATAGCACATTTGGAACTGGAACGGCAACCACAGGTGAACTTCACAAGTGAAGTCTTGAAGAGAAGTGAGCTTTCCTACCTGCATCCTTCTAACAAAGCTTGGCACTCACCTGATACCTGGGAAAACCGCTTTGAGGGCAATATAGGCTAGCAAATATAGAAACTTTATTCTGAGCTCTCTGTGAATAGGAGGTAGAGGAGTATTCCTCAAGGAGAGCAAAAAGAAAGGGGCTCTTTCTATGATAAGATGTCAAGCTGAAACAGATGGGAGGAAAATTCAAGACCTCCTGGTGGTTCTTCAATAAAGAATGTATGCCTTGGGGAGAACCTAAGATGGCGACATAGGTAAACACCTAAACTGCTGCCTTGCACAACAATTTCAAAACTACAACTAAAAGACAAAATGTCTATAACCCAGAGCCATGGGAGGGCTGGCTGAGTGGAAGTTCTACAACCAGAAGGAAAGAGAAAAAAGCATTCAGTGCACAAATGCTGAGAAGCTGAGGTACGGGGCAGGGGCACACAACCCAGGTTGGCAGTGGGCATTGCTTTCTTCAACCTGAAGGGAGACAAGCTCCTGATTTATCTGAAATTCAGTTTCCGGACAGATGCATGGGACCCAAACTCCTATGGGGAGAAGCTGGACTGTCTGCCATTGGGCTGGAAAGTGAGGCTGGCTTGCTTGCAGAGCTGTGCCCAGGAATAATTGCTAGCGGCCCTGGGGTGTGAGATAAGGGGACGTGGTCAGAGGTGCAGGGATGGCTGGCTGCCAGCCATCGCTGTTTGCCATGCCCTAGCTTACTGATGCCCTGAGACCCCCCACCCCACATAATCTACAAACACACCCAAGCTCCACACAGTGGCTTTTGCATATGAATGGCCTTCCTGATCGCAGCTTAACCTAGCAAACTTGCAACACGGTTCAGACAGCTCCAAAACCTCCAAATCCCAAGCAAAGAGGAGAAAACTGTAGTTCTCACTGTAGCTTCTGATGGGTGGCCTCAGACAGTAGCTGACCTACACCCCATTAGAGATCCAGAAGCCAGTGTACCTAGTGGTCTGTGTGAGACACCAGATTTCAACTCCTCACATCCATAAGTGTCACATTCAAGAGGCAGACTCAGTGAGCACCAAAGCCCCACTGAAACAAGTCCTACCCCATAAGTGTGTCTCCAGGGCAGCAGTTCTTCCATTATAAACACAGCAGGTCCCCGCAACCAATTGGACTAGAGGACAATTCCTCCCAGTGTACCAACTACACCAAGACTTTGCACTCAGCCCACATAGGGGTGTACCAAGAGTGTCCACCTCAGGTGATTGGGGAGGCTGAGCTACTGGCCCCTATAGGTCGCCTACCACACAAAGCCACTCCATCAACACAGGAAAGCAGCCAAAATGCAAAGACAAAGAAACATGTCACCACTGAAAACAATGAAGGAAAGCAAACTATGGAATGACATAGAGTTCAAAATCACATAAGGTTACTCAAGAATCTTCTAAAAACCACTGAGAAACTTGACAAGACCTTCAAGGACCTTAATGAGAATGCAAAAAATAAATAAATAAATAAAAATAAAAAAAGAACCAGTCAGAAATTAAGCATACAGTGTCTGAAATAAAGAATATACAGAAACTCAACTGTAGATCAACATACCCCAAGAATCAAACCAAAGATCTGAAATATAAGGAAACAAAAAACACCAACCATTAAAACAAAAAGAAAAAAGGATCCAAAAATCTGAAGATAGTGTAAGGAACCTCTGGGACAACTTTAAGCATACCAACATCCGAATTTTTGGAGTGCCAGAAGAAGAGAGAGAGCAAAATATTGAAAACCTATTAGAAGAAATAATGACAGAAAACTTTCCCTACCTGGTGAAAGAAATAGACTTACAAGTCCAGGAAGCACACACAACCCCAAACAAGAGGAATCCAAAGAGGACCACACTAAGACACATCATAATTAAAATGCCAAGAGCAAAAGACAAAGAGAGAATCTTGAAAGCAGCAAGAGAAAAAGTTAGTTACCTAAAGGGAGTACCCATAAAACTGTCAGCTGATTTCTCAACAGAAACTATGCAGGCCAGAAGGGAGTGGCAAGAAATATTTAAAGTAATGAATAGCAAGAACCTACAACCAAGATTACTCTACCCAACAAAGCTATCATTCAGAATTGAAGGTCAAATAAAGAGCTTCACAGACAAGAAAAAGCTAAAGGAGTTCACCACCACCAAACCAGGATTACATGAAATGCTGAAGGATATTCTTTAAGAAATGGAAGAAGAAAAAGATAAAGATAAAAATTATGAACAACAAAAAGACATCAAATACATACCTACCACAAGTGAATCTAAACATCAAGTGAAAATTAAGTCTAAAGAGCAGAATGGACTGGTGAATATAATGGAATCAGGGACATAGAAAGGGAGTGGACTGACAATTCTCAAGGGAAAGAGGGTTTTAGGGGTATGGGAAGAGATTGTACAAAAGTCTTATACCTATGGATGAAGACAGTGGTGGGTGGTAAGGGCATGGGTTAGGGAATCAGGTGGAGGGGAGGTATGGGGGGGCGGGGGTGAGAGGAACACCTGTAATAATCTGAACAATAAAGATTTATTAAAAAAAAAGAATGTATGCCTTGATGGGACTGAGGTTCACTGTTTCTAGGAGTTTCTAGCAAACTTCCAGGTTATTTTGATGCTACTGGAACCAGACCACTTTTGGAGTAATAAGACTAGAGCATGAGGAACTTTTTATAAAAATTGATCCCCGAAAGCCCTAGCTGGTTTGACTGTGGAGAGAGCAATGGCCCTTAGCCTGCAGCCCTTGGCTCTCAGACCAGAAGTGTCCCAGGTTTTAGCTAGGTCAAGGGGACATACCTTGATTGCAGGCTCCTCGGGACATGTGCGGGAGGCAACTAATGGATGTGTTTCTCTCACATTAATGTTTCTCTCTGTGTGTGTGTCTTTCCCTCTCTTCCACTCTCTCTCTAAATATATACTGTATATATATATGTGTGTGTGTGTGTGTGTGTGTATATATATATATATATATATATATATATATATATTCCTATATTATATATGATTATGTAAAATTGCACTACATATAATCCTGAATCCTGAAACTTCTTTTTCTATTTGTCTAAAATAGGTATTTTAGGTCTGTATTTTCTCAAAGTTTTCTTTGTTCTGTGTCCATAGTAGGAACATTATTCAAGACAGATAATGTTAACTTGGCACTTTGAGCACATTTGAGATAAGTAAATGGAATATTTATTAGAAAAAATATAATAGCAATGAGGGATCTGGAGAGTTTTGTTCTAAGCTACATAAGCCAGTCAGAGAAAGACAAGTATCACATGATCTCACTTATATGTTGAATCTAATGAACAAACTAAACTGATGGACAAAATAGATCCAGAGACATAGAAGCATAGGATAGACTGTGGGATCACAGAGGGAAGGCAGGGGAAGGTAGGTGAATGGGAACAGATCAACCAAAGACCTTGTATGCATATGCATAACCCATGGATACAGACAGTAGGGTGGTGAAGGCCAGGGAAATGGGAGCTGAGGGAGTAGAAGATGGAGACAGGCTAGAAGAGATCCGTGGGGGGGGACGACACATAAATACTTTCAACAATAAATATTAAATAAATAATAAATAACAAAAGTGTTGGAGACATAAAAAAAAAAGTAATCAATTAACATAGATGGTAGACTCTACTAGGGAAATGTTAGAAAACCAGTTATTTTGATGAATGGGCTTTGGCCTACAGCAAGTGTAAGGGTTCAGAACAAGTCACCCCTAGAAGTGCTTCTGTAGTATACAGATTTTGAACTAAAGTCAACTAAGACCCTAGGGCAATTGTCAACAAACTCATTAGTCAACAGAGCCAAATATCAACAGTACAACGATTGAAATTTCTTTTGAGAGCCAAAAACCGACTTCTGCACATGGGCCACAAAGTTTCAATCGCGCTGTATGTGTGCTCAGCACATGGTATTTTGTGGAAGAGCCACACTCAAGGGGACAAAGAGCTGCATGTGGCTTGCAAGCCACAGTTTGCCAACCACAGTCCTAGTGTATCAAGAGAAACTACCTCCTCCCCTTTAACTACCTAGAAGAATTTTTGATTTAGGGGCCTTGCCCATAATAAGAGATTATCAGAGATACCATTTTTCAATCTCTGTATATGGCAGGGCAAACTACTAATTCCTGAACATCTGCTCTTCTTATTATCCTGCAATGA